AAAAAAAAAAAGTCAACAAAAGATCTGCCTAACAGGGTTGTAGAGAGAACTGGGGACGATAAATGTCAAGCCTTAGCGCCAGGCTCCCACCAAAGGAAGACTGATGTGCCGAAGCGCCTGTTCCCATTTTCACATTGGGAAGTCTCAGTCTCACAGAAGTGAAGCACCGGGCCATTTGCCATCAAACACAGATTGCGATCCTGTTTTTGTTTGTTTTTCTCCAAATTCTATGCCTTTGGCTCATTTGAGGGTCTGGGTAGGAGAGTGCAGAGTATTAAATCTGCTAGACCAATATCAGAAATTTAAGTTTTATTTTATTGACAAGACTGTGTGTCTGCTCCACAGCAGTATCGATGGCAGCACCGCAGATGGAACAAGTAGAAGATGACCCACTCTGTCCTTAAGGGCCGCGGGGTGGCCAGTGAAAGAGGCCTGAAGTGTGCAAGGAGAACTCCTTTCCTTTCTCCTTCCGTAGGGGACATTCACTTGGCTGAGCCAGCGACTCTCAGCCTGGGCTGCCCATTGTGATCCCTGGGACCTGAGTGGAGTAAGTGAATGGGCTGCCAGGAGGAGAACTCCCAGCCAGGCAGAGAAGAAGCGCCTGGGCCACCTAGGACACAGGAGGAGGGAGGGCGAGTGAGGGGTTTGGGGTCAGGGAAGTAAATGAACCTTTAAGGACAATGCCCAAGGCTGTGGTCTGCACGGCCCAAGACACAAGCCTGAGGGAAGTCATGAGAGGAGCAGAGGGAGCCTCTGCCTCCCAACAGCAGCTGCAGATGTCCCAGGCAAGGCCTTAGACATGCGGCTGTTGTCGGGCCAAGACGCCTCCTTCAGCCTGAGACACCTCCCTTGCTGCCGGAACAAGGGGCAACTTGCAAAAGGCGAAGGCCCCAGATAGCCCACGCTTGACAGAACAGCTCCCAGGACCCTGGGAGGCAAGATGCACGGCCACCTGGAAACAGTCTGTTGCCCTTTCAAACACAGAGTCAGATAAATAAAATGTATTATTATTTTATTAGCAACTTTTAAAAGCTCCTGCAGTGGTGTGAGTTACAGCAGATACAACTAGTTTCATATATTTATTTTATGTGTTTAGCACTTAATTCGCACCAGCTTGCACTGCAAGACACTCAGCCATAACACATTTTTACTGGGCTGTGATCTTCCACATTAATCAGACTACTGATTACCCAACCAGCATTTCTAGGGAACAGTCATCTTGTACCCAGGAGTTGCTGTTCTTTTTCCAACGCTGTCTGTCCATCTTTCTTAATGTACGGCTTGGCTTCCACGTTGCAGTCTTTCATCTCCAATCTTTCATTGGTGTTTCTTCTATGTTTCTCAGAGTTCTTTCACACCTTCTATCATTTTTGTACTTCTTAAAGACATTTTACACTTGGCTAGGAAACACTCAAAGCAAAGATTATTTGATTAAGTAAAATCACATAATTACCGAGTAGTAAACATGATTCTTTTTCCTCTGTATTTCAATTCCATTTTTTTTTATTGGTTCTTCCTAGTTATACATGACAGTAGAATGCATTTTGATAAAATTATACAAGCATAGGATATATATTATTCTAATTAGGACCTCATTCTTGTGGGTAGGCACGATGGTGGGAGTTACTTATTTTCATATGTGTACATGGGAAAATTATGTTAGATTTATTCTACTGTCTTTCCTATGCCTATCCCCCTTCCTTCCGTTCATTCCCCTTTGTCTAATCTACTGAACTTCTCTTCTTCTTCTCCCCCGCCCCCACTTTATTGTGGGTTAGCATCCACACATCAGCAAAAACATTTGACCTTTGGTTTTGGGGGCTGTCTTATTTCACTTAGCATGACAGTCTCCAGATCCATCCATTTACTGGCAAATGTCATAAAGTCATTCTTCTTTATGGCTGAGTAACTTTCCATTGTGTATATATACCACAATTATAGGCACAATTTTTATGAAAAAAAAACACATTTATTTGTTCACATTTATTTGCTCTGTTTTAAATTCAAAATTGGTGGTATGCTGGGCAACCCTCGATGTGGAAATCATTAACTATAACTTTCCGAAGATTAAACAAAATCTCAGAAACATGCACCCATCTTCTCATCAATAGTGACTCCTGGTGTCGTTCTAGGTCCTCCAGGAAGGAGAGGTGGAATCAGAGTAAAAGATTGTTGGGGGCGATAACCAACCTCAGTGCCAGCCTCAGCAACTTACCAAAGCCCTGAGAAACTTAGTGAGACCCTGTCTCAAAATAAAAAATAAAGGGAGCTGGGGTTGTGGCTCAGTGGTGGAGCACTCACCTAGCATGTGCAAGGCCCTGGGTTCGATCCTTAGCATCACATAAAAAAAATTATATTTATTTTACAACTAAAAAATAAATATTTAAAACTTTTTAAAAATAAATAAATAAATAAAAATAATAAAAAATAAAAAGGGCTGGGGAGGCTGCAGTTGGGGCTTAGTGGCAGAGCGCTTGCCTAGCAAATGTGAGGCACTGGTTTCAATCCTCAGCACCACATAGAAATAAATAAATAAAATAAAGGTATTATATCCATCAACTAAAAAAAATTAAAAATAAAAGGGGCTGGGATGAGGTTTAGTGGTTAAGCGCTCCTGAGTTCAATCCCTAGTAACCATTTAAACTGTCAAAAGTTCCAGAAATGAGTTCTAGAATGCTCCTTGGCAGCAATTCCACTTCTAAGCACATTCCAAAAGAATTTGAAATTGAATTCCAATTTGGGATTTAGAATTTCAATTCCAAAAGAATGGAAAGCAAGGACTCGAATAATATCTGTAAACCAATTTCCTAGCAGCATTAGTTTAAACAATAGCCAAAAGGCAGAAACAACCCAACTGGCCATTGATGGATGAATGGAGAAACACAAGATGTGATGTAAAGATATAGATATAGATAAAGATAGAGCCATAGATAGATATACACAATTGGAATATTACTCAACCTTAAAAAGGAAGCCAACCTTAATATATACCATGACAAAGGTAAAATCCAAAGACATTATGCCAAGTAAAAAAAAAAGCCACACACACAAAAGGACAAGAATTGTATGATCCCATTTACAAGAGGTACGAAATGCTCAAAATCACAGAGGCGGAACGGTGGTTGCCAAAGAGGAGCTATGGATATAGGATTTCAGTTTAGGACAATGAAAAAGTTTGGAAGAACAGTGATGATGGTTTCACAACCACATGAAAGTACTTAATGACAATGAACTGTACCCTCAAAAGGTTTAAGACGGTAATTTTTATGTAGATTCTAGCAAAATTTTAATAATAAAGGTAATTTTTAAAAACCTCCTTGGAAATGCAGTATTATTATTGTTTCTCACAGAGAAGCAACAGATTGCTTATTCAATCCACTGCATTTTTCATAAATTTAATTATAAAAATAAGAAAGCCACAGTATAGAAAATTTTGAAAATAAAGGGAAAAAAACCCTCTTAACCACATTTCTTTGCTTTTTTTTCCCCCCCTTTTCAAGCTTATTTTTAATGGGGTTGGAGGTATACTCAGTGGTTAGTGGATTTGATCTCCAACATAAGAGGAAAAAAAAAAGATTTTTTTTTAACCTAGTTGTTACCATAGTATATAGTCACTATGTGTTTTGAGGACAAGTCCCCAAAATGGCTTCCAGAAACCTCTCTGGCAATGCACAGGGACAAGGGGGATATTATGATTCCTCTCAGAAATGTGCTGCACCCCGGGTGGAAAGGGTCCACATTCCTGAGAGATGTGAAGGAAGGGTTGATGAGACTGTGATGGCGGAAATGGAGAAGACTAATGCTGTTTCCTTTACGCTGTTGCCAGGACACATGGACACACACGTGTACTCACATAGTCCTCTCCATGCTGAGGTTATATCACCTACTCACCATGTCGCAAGGAGGAAGGAACTGGTTACAGAGGTAGCTGCAGGTCCTGGGCCTCAGAACCATCATGCTGACAGCTGAGACCCTCTCAGAGAGCCCAGGAATAGGAATGCTGGGGAAAATGAGGCAGAATTATGGCCTCCAATTCAGTTTGACTCCCACATAGACAACAAAGCACAAGTCTGGAGCTGGTCACCCTGTCTTGAGCGTTAGTGCAGCCTTAAGCAATGGCTTCATGTCTCTGAGCCTCCGGTTCCCTAGCTGGGAAATGGGAATTATATTCCCCACCTCTTCATGGTGTTGTGAGGCCTGAGAGAATCCATGTAAAGTGCCTCTGCTCTGAGTATGTGCTCACTAAATGGAGGCTCTGCCGATACTGTAAGGCCCCAGCAGCAACTTCACTGATCCCATCAATGACCAAAGAGTGAGAACGTTGCCACTGTGGACCTGTTTGTGAACTCATGTGGTCGAGTGCCCCTGAGTTCAATCCCTGCTACCAAAAAAAAAAATTTAAACTGACCATCCCAAGTGTTGATAAGGGATGTGGAACAACTAGTATTGTCATCCAATGCTGATGGGGATGTAAAATGATAACTCTTTGGTAAACAGTTTAGAAGATTTTTCATATATATTTAACTTTTTAAAGGGATAGATACCACTGTACCCAATTATTTCAGAATATATGTTTTTCCTGGAAAAACATGGAACATTTCAAAGATTAAACTAAATTCAGATCTCAACAAACTTCTAAGGACTGGTATTCTATATAGACCACTTTCTCTGACCACCATAAAATTAAAACTGAAGTCAATTACAAACAGAAACCTAGAAAAAAAAATCCAAGGGTTTAGAAGTGAAGAAGCAGATTTTTAAAAGCTATGGGTTAAATAATCAGTGGAGCGGGGTACAGTGGTGCATGCCTGTAATCCCATAGATGCAGGAGGCTGAAGCCTCTTTTTTTTTTGCTGAGGCTGGCTTTGAACTTGTGATCTGCCTGCCTCAGCCTCTCAAGCCTCTAGGATTACAGGCATGAGCCAATGTGCCTGGCCAGTTTTTAAAGCTGAGCCATTCTAGTGAATGTATAATGTTGTTCATTGTGGTTCTATTTGAATTTCTCTGATATCCAATGATGTTAACCTTTTTTTTTTTTTTTTTTGTGTGTGTGTGTGTGTGTGTGTGCTGGAGGTGGAACCCAGGACCTCTTGCATGCTAAGCACATGCTCTACTACTGAACCACATCCCCAGTCCTGAACATCTTTTTATGTGCTTATTTTCAAGTTTGAAGACAGCCTCAGCAACTTGCAAGACCCTGTCTCAAAAACTGAAAAGTGGCAGGAGACAGTTGGCTAGTGAGGAAGTCCCCAGCACACAATGACCTGATCTTAAGATAGGTGGCTAGGAGTCAGGGAGGGAGGAAGATACGGTGACAAGGAACCTGATGAAGGAAGGTGGATGGGGCTTACGACTGACTCGTTGGCTAGCCAAGGACAACTAGGTAAGAGAAAGACAAGCAATACTAGAATAGAATCAGGAGTGCACTGCAGCCTTTGAAAAGACTAATTATGGGGCTGGGGTTGTGGCTCAGCGGTAGAGCACTTGCCTTGCACATGTGAAGTCCTGGGTTCAATTCTCAGCACCACATAAAATAAATTTTAAAAAAATAAAGGTCCATCAACAACCAAAAAATATTTTTTTAAAAAAATGGTAGTTATGAAGGGCTAGGATTGTAGCTCAGGGGCAGAGCACTTGCCTGGCATGTGTGAGGCACTGGGTTCAATTCTCAGTACCTCATATAAATAAATAAAAAATAAAGGTCCATCAACAATTAAAAAATACTTTAAAAATGGTAGTTATGAAAATTATAGCAGAATGAGAAAATACTTATAATATATTTTATATTATAAAGAATATATTTATTTAGGAGCTGGGGTTTGGTAGAGCGCTCGCCCAGCACCTGCGAGGCCCTGGGTTCAATCCACAGCACCACATAAAAATAAATAAATAAAATAAAGGTATTGTGTCCATCTACAACTAAAAACTTTTTTTTAAAAAGAATATATTTAGGGCTGAGGCTATAGCTCAGTGATAGAGTGCCTGCTTCACATGTGTGAGGCACTGGGTTCTATCCTCAGCACCACATAAAAGTAAATAAATAAAGATATTGTGTCCATCTACAATAAAAAAATATATTAAAAAAGGAATATATTTATAAGAAACGCTTATAATATACTTTGCTTATAAGTAAAAAGAAGGGAATTTTTTAAATCACATGTGCCTATGAATATAAATATCTTTTCAAGCCACAAAAAAATATGAGCCCAAATTAATCATCCTACTTCAAAAACTTATTTCTACTTGGTTAATGTTACAGAATGAACTGTGTTCCCCCAAAATTCATATTCCAGAACCCTAACCCCCAAGGTAACTGTACATGGAAAGAGAGCATTTAAGGAGGTAAAGTTAAGTGAGCTCATAAAGATGGGGTCCTAGGGCTGGGGATGTGGCTCAAGCGGTAGTGTGCTCGCCTGGCATGCGCGGGGCGCTGGGTTCGATCCTCAGCACCACATAAAAATAAAATAAAGATGTTGTGTCCACTGAAAACTAAAAAATAAATATTAAAAAATTCTCTCTCTCAAAAAAAAAAAAAAGATGGGGTCCTAGCTTCACAGGCCTGGTGTCTACCACAGAACTAGAAAGAAACACCAGAGATTGCTCTCCCACATGACTAGAGGGGGAAAAGGCCATGTAAGGATGAGAAAGCATCATCTGCAAGATGAAGGCCTCATCAGAAACCCACCCTGCCAGCACCTTCCTCTTGAACTTCCCAGCCTCCAGAACCGTGAGAAATCAAATTTCTGCTGTTCAGGCCCCCATCTGTGGTATTTTGTTATGGCAACAAGAGCAGAGGAACACAGTTAGCCAACAGGTCACTAAGCCCTCTGCAGTTCTCCTGCAACCATCGCTCCCTCTCCATCCCACCACCAGTGTGGCTCAAGATCACCATGTACCCAGATAAATGCAGCAAACACCCTTCTCTTCTTTAGCTTTGTACTTCCCGACATGCTCCTCATATTCCCAGCAACCGATTCTTACCTTGCTCCAGCCTATCGTCTCAAATACCTGCAATGTTTGAATCCGACAACCGAAATTTTCCTCTAATACAAACCCTTGGCTCCCTCTTTCTAGAACTCTCTGTGCTTATCTCTTACATATAAGCTCTCTAGCCCCTCCAGGTGCACTTAGAATTTTTCCATTGTAAAGGCAAATGAAATCCAATTCAGACTAGCATTCATGGCTTGGCATGGAAATCATCCCTTTCCACCTCCCCTGCCACGTCTTTGTTTGCTTTTCCTTCGTTTCATAGTCCCAGGCTCCAATTGCAGGTGCAAGTCACTTTTTCCACATGATGGGACTAGAGAAGCACCACAGCCTTCAACCTAAATCATCCGGGTTTACCAAGCTTCATGGGAATATAGCGTATGTCAGCATTCCTAGGTCAAATCCCATGAAGGATTGGGCTGGTCATTCTTGGGTCAAGTGCCCACTCACGAGTCAATCATTCTAGCCAGGAGGAAAAGGGATTTCTAGCCAAAAAGGAAAGGCCAGGGTTAGATCAAGATACAGTAGTTGGGGAGAGAGAGGGAGGGAGGGAGGGAGGGAAAGAGAGAGAGAGAGAGAGAGAGAGAGAGAGAGAGAGAGAAACCCCTGATTACCAGAAGAGGAAAAGAGATGTTGAGAGACAAAATATCTACTCTTCCAGGTGGTACCTGTTCTGATACAGCCCAACACACAGAACTCTTCCCCAGGGCCACCCTCACTGATTTGTCACATCTCAGTCAGTGAATCAGATGGCAGAGCCCAACACCTGAGCTGCTCCTCCCCTCCATGGCCATGGAGAACTGTTCCAACCCATAATCCAGCAGAGAAATACTGAAGCACTTCTTGGAATAATGGCAATGTTTTTCTTCTATACTGATTCATGCAAACTTGGCCATGAGATTTTACAAACAAAGGAAAATAGAAGTTGACATCTCCAATGCAGAACTCTAAGTCCTTACAGAATAAAGCCAAGCCTCAAATTGACAGGAAGGATTTGGTTTGCAACTCAAAGGGGGAAAAGTCTCCTAGCTTTCAAGGTTAGATTAACACTGGGTTAGAGCACGACATAAATCTACAGAAGCTGTATAGTGGGAGATTTTTTTTTTAATATGGGAAGCCACTGCTGGCAATGGAAAGTGAATTGAACACATTTCTACATTGTTGGTGGGGTCATAAACTAGCATAAGCCTTAGAGCAATTTGGCACTCTGTCTTTAAAATGCCAAAATAAATAAAGTAAAATATGAATGCCCTTTGATCCATAAATTTCATTTCCAAGAATTGTTTCTAAGCAACCAATCCAAAAAATTAGAGGTTTATGCAAAAAGATGTTCACTATAGTATTATTAATAATAAGGAAAATTTAGAAAAAACATAAAAGAATGGCAAGATACACTGTGGTAAGTCCTCTCTATGGAGTATCTTTCAGCAATTACAAATGATGTCTTGTTCAGTTCAGGGTAAACAAAATGCAAGTGGCTTTGAAAGATTTTTTTTTTCAGCCTTTCTTATAAGAAAAACTTTCTTTTAAAACAAGATTGGAGCCAGGAACAGTGGCTCACGCCTGTAATCTCAGTGGCTCAGGAGGCTGAAGCAGGAAGATGGGGCATTCAAAGCCAGCCTCAGCAAAAGCAAGGCACTAGGCAACTCAGTGAAACCTTGTCTCTAAATAATTAAATACAAAATAGGGCTAGGGATGTGGCTCAGTGGTCAAGTGCCCCTTAGTTCAATCCCTGGTATCCAAAAAATAAATAAAAAATAAATAATAGACTATATTATTGTTACATGTATATATTATTATATGTGTCTTTATAATCTAAATACAGCAAGTATCTAAATACAGTAAAATCAGAGAAAACAAGAAGGAAATGCATTGCTCAAGGTCTCTTCGAACTCCATGAGTCTGCATCAATAAAGTTTCTTGTTTCTTAAGTCCTCTTTACTTCATCTGACTGGCAACTGCTCTGATGAAGATGAGACACAATGCTCATAAATCAACCCAAAGAAAATGGTGTCTGTAATACCCGATACCAATGAAGTTGCCGCTGAATGAGCAATATTGGACCTGACTGCATTATAAATGGATACCACCTTTTTGAAAAGCAATTTGCCTATATGATTCTGAAGCTATAAAAAGTAATTTGACCCAGCAATTTGACTTCTGGAATCCTCAGAGGAAAAAAAAATGTGAAATAGTGGAGAGCTTTATGCATAAAGATCTTAATTAAGAATGGTATGCAGCCATAAAAGATTACAATTACATATAGCACGTAGAAACATGAGAAAATGTTTATGATACAGCATTTGGTACTAGAGAAAGAATACAAAACTGCATGTATCCTATAATTATGATCTCTTAATAAAATACACGTGAAAAACCTGGGAAGGATACCAACAGGCTGCCGATGCTCATGTTTAGATGGTGGGATTGTGAGGGGGGTTTCATTTTATCTTCCTTTCTTTTCCAAAGTGTTTATAATATATTCTCTTTTTAAAACAATGTTCGTGTACTTTAAACTATGAAGTCTGGGCTATCCCAAAAAATTGATTCTTTTTTTATATCACTTTGTCTCTATTTCCTTTTTTAGGAAATAAAGCCCCTGCATCTCATATAGAAATAGTCACTAATATTTATCAAGCAAACCACGTTTTGTCTTTTACAACCAAATGAAGTAGAAATCCTTACTGCCATTTGGCAAATAGGGAAAATGGAGGCTTAGACAGATTGCATGACACAACTAAGAGGTGGCAGTAGCATGATTGAAAACCAGGTCTTCCCAGCTCTAAGCTCAGTTCTTTCCACATCACCGTAACTATGCAAAACAGTTCTTGATGTCCTACATGTATCAGAAAGAATGCTAACACTTTATACCCATTTTCTCATTTAATAACCCAGTGCATGTATATAGGGCCCACAAGGACATAGCAGCTAAGCTATCAAGTCACACTAGATGCCCAAGGCAGAAAGAGGTAGAACTGAGATTCTAAGCCAGGTGGGTTGGTGTTGTAGTCACTGGTGTGTGTGGGTAGCCGTACTGCTGTCCTGATTACC